TATCCCCTTCATGTACCAAAATATGAAGTCATCTCCAGTCGCAGCCTGACTGGAGAAGACCTTTGGAATTCACGTCACCTCCAAACAGCTGCGAAACTTCTAGTATGGAGTCACCCATGGATAGCTACCTGGAGACCAGTACTCTCGATCTGGAAGACCTCCAACATCGAGCAGCTCCGACAACGTCGCTACGGTCTAGGACATCATCTTCACCAAGGCGATGGTATGGACCGGACGTACCTGGAATGGGAAGACCGATATTTTCTTCGTGGACCCCGGACTGAGCGCTGGCGGTTACATCGAGCAACTCGTGAAGAATATCCTCCTCACATGTCGTCGCCCGTACCTTCTTGGAAACTTTGTACTGCTACAGCATTGGGTGCCACCACATGGAATCGAAGGAACTCTCGCCTACTTGGAATGGAAGGGGGCTGAGTACCTAAAGAAGATGGAATATCCAAGTAGGTCACCTGACCTGAATCCCCTCAATTACCCGGTTCGGGCGGAGTTCAATAGGGTGGTCTACGGTGGCGGAGAAATCGACTATCTCGCTGATCTCAGGCACCACATCGTGCCAGAATCTCTCGATGGCGCTCGTCCAGAAGGCTGTGGCGGAGTGTCATGATAGTATTTAATATGCTCTTTAAAATGTCCGATCAGAATTTATAAAGTGTAACTTATAGCGCCTCGAAAGTCAATGAAGAAAGTGACTTTTTTGCCCCCCCCCCTGTATATTGGCCTCATGTCAAAGACTCGCTTCTTACAGTACTTTCTTGCAGCGATTAACATGATTTGCCCGAATAATAATTTCATGAATGACAGGCTTCGGCAAAAGGCTCTCGATATGCACAACTATCGCAGGTAGTATGTTATCAGTTGCTATCAGTTGGTTTTTTCAGTTACATTTCCCAAAGTTGTGATTTTATAGATCCAATCTCGCTCAGGGTTCGGTCAGAAAGAATAATATGAACCTTCTTCCATCCGCAACAAACATGATAAGGCTGGTATGTTATGTCAGTTGAAATTGTCAAATTTCAATGTAATAAACTCGACAAGTACATCTGACCATGAGAAACGAAGAAATGGATGGAGGAGGTGGAACAACATCATCAAGTGGGACATTTTTGAAACCACGGCCAATAGGATAAGGTCTCTCGAAAAATTAAATGGAAAAGCTTCAAATGGGCAACGTCTGCCACGGCACGCAAAGAGAACATAAGAATGCATCTTGGTGAGAGGGTGCAAATGGGCAGAGAACGACAACGGTTCAGGCGGCGTTCAGACCTTGCCGTGACGCGTATCGACACTCCACCGCAACGTCTGAAAGCCGCTCAAACCGTTGTCGTTCGCGCTACCTCTCCAGGAGCCTCACGCTATACTCCCCACGAGAACAGTTATCCTCTGCTAAACCTCCACTCTCTGCCGTTATCTCTACTGATGCCCTCGTCTCTCTGGCTCTCGCCGCTCTGCATCCATATTCTTTTGGCGCACGCTCTGTGCGAATATAGTACAGCGCAGAGCATAGTCGATATGCTCCCTTCTCCCCCAGCCAGGGCACATCATTGGTTGGGTCAAATCCGTACGAACCTCTCCCTTGATACGAACACTGGGGGAATTCCCATTAAACGGTGGCTTGGTACGACCCCAATTCACTGCAGTGATACGATCGAGCTCTCGAGGGGGGAGGGGTACATAGCACATCTGAGAGAGGAAAAACCGCTCTCGCGCGGCAAGCACGCCCCCCCCCCCTTCTCCCAACAACGAGCAAATGCGAACTCCCCTCCTCCCATTTTATTGGGGAATCCTTAGCCATGATGTGCCCTGCTGCCAGCGCATGTCCTTGGGAGAGGTTTCGAGATAATGGGTGGGGAGCAAAGATGCAGAAAGGCAGAGGCAGCGAGACAAGGGACATCGATAGAGACAAGGCAGAGAGCGGAAGTTTGCTATCTCCCCCCTCGAGGGGA